ACAGTATGAAAGAACGGAATCTTGTGTAATCACAAACAACATAATTTCATCAATCAACATCTAAAACTAAAAATTAATCATAGAAAAACAGTAAAAACCAAGAAATTAAACCAACAATATCTCATAATCAATTCAATAAAACTTGGAACAAGATAAAATCAAATACCAGCAGGAACGTGGTTGAGGGAGATGCCAGTGGAGGAAAGGGCGTGCTGAACAGCGGAAGAAATACGGTGGGTGTCGCCGTAAGCTGATATCGAAACACAACCACCGTAATCCAATTTAAGGAGGGCAGAGGCGATATTCTGCGCAATCAAATTAGGATCAGAATTCTTGGGCACCGGACAATTCTCAATATCCCACCACACCGACGTCTTCGCCTTTCGATATTCCGGCGCAATTTCATTCACCCTGACATTTTGATCAAGATTTTCAATGGGTTCTTCCAAAACTTCTTCTGCTACTTCCAATTCTCCTTCAATCATCTTCTCTTGTTCTGCAATTAAGTGTTTTGATCCACTGCTACTGTTTGCTGACCCTGAATTTACGTTGATGTAGCCATTAGAGGGTGCTTGGGAGTTTGGCAATGGAATTAATTAATTTCATGGATAAAGTAAAGTATAAACCCTAATTCAGAGGTTGAATGGCTGTGGAAGAAGAATAGTAATGTAAATTTTGGATTTTTGGTTAATTAGGGCCGCAATTTCTATCTTACTTCTGGCGTATTTTGATGTGAAGTTTTTATCATTTCAATTTATATATATATATATATATATATTACACTTAATATATGTTATTTTTAAATAAGTACATGTTATTTTTATTTTATTTTATTCTTAAAAAAAAATATATATTATTTTATATTTACATGCTTTTATATTTTTATTTATTTATTTATTATTTATTTTTATTCAATATCAATCATTCCACTGTACTATGGGTTTATAAAATTCATGTTATTTTGTTGTGAACTTCTAATTATTTCAATTTATATATATATATATATATATATATATATATATATATATATTTTCTTTTTTAAAAAAAATATATATATATATATATTCTTTTTAAAAAAAAAATATATATATATATATAATTTTTAAATAAGTATATGTTATTTTAAACATGCATGCTATTTTTTGTACATGTTGTTGAAACAAATAAGTAAGTAACATATTGTTTTAGCAAAATAACACAAGATTTAAGTAAGATAACATAAGGTTTAGGCAAAATAACTCAAGCATATTGGGTATGGAGTACCATGATCCAGGAGTATATAATACTAACTCCTCTGTTCGGGAAAATAAGTTCCATTCAGAAATGTAAGTAAAATAAATTTTCATATAGTAAGATTTAATAAATTCAGATAAGATAAAATAAGTTTAGATAAGTTAAAATCGGGTGAATACAGTATTGGGGCTATATCGACGTAACGCAGAATAGGCCTTGTGCGACTTCTCCAAATGATGCCCTTTATTTTGCGAGAATTTTTTTTAATTATTGTCGTTGCAATATTCGCAAAACAGATTGAATATTTAAATTCTAATAACAATTTATTTTTTTATATTTAAAAAAAGGAAAAGTTGGTTAATTGCATGTATATCAAAAATTTGGGAGATAATAACGATTTAATCAATTTCGTTTTTTTTTTTAGGAAAATGAATTCCATCTTAAAAATAACTGAAAAGAGTGAAATTAATATGCGAGATGGAGGATTTGTGTATTTTTTTACGGTAGATAAGGAAATTGATTTTGGAAATAGAAAGATTTTGTACTCCTTCTGTCACGTAACTAGAAGCCTATTTCCCATTTTACGAGAATTAAGGAAGTTGGAGATTACTTAAATAACGTGATTGGGAAGTATAAATATGCATGTGGGGTTAGATAGTGATAGAGAAAAGTAAAGATAGTCGGTAATTATTGAAGAGATGGAGAGAAAAAGTGTTAGAAAAATGATGTCAAAAGTACAAAAAAATAAAAAAAAAATAATGACACCTCATCAAAAAGAGTGAAATATTGTCAAAACTACATTCTTTAAATAGAAATAGACATGCTTCTAGTTATGTGACGGAGGGAGTAGAAATTAGAAAGGAAAATTGAAAAATTGAAAGAGGGAAATTAAATTGGAATTGAATATGAAAGGTTTAAGAATGGAAAAGGCAACTATGATTAGGGGTGCTAAACCTTCGAGCCGAGCTCGCATAGTGGTAGGCTCGGCTTGAGCTCGTTTGCCTTGAGGTAAGCTCGGTTCGAGCTTGAAGCTCGACGAGCTTTCGAAAGATAGGCTCGGCTCGAGCTCGTGACACCAGACGCAGGTTCGGCTCGGTTCGAAGCTTAACTCGAGTTCTTATTTTTTTATTTTATTTTTTTGGTGTTATTGCTAAACTAACATGCCCCTGCCATAATTGAAGCCCGCTTAAAGATTCGAAGATGTTGAACGGTAGACGGCGAGTAGGCGATGTTGAGGCTACTAACTAGGTGTCATCTGGTCTACGGCGATTGTGGGGCGGTGGTCAAGTGGTGTTTGTGCTGTGAGTTGAAAGATTGTGCTTGTGAAGTTGGGAGGCTAACGGCTATGGGTGAGAAATGAGATGAGGTGAAAGTGAAATTATAGCTAGGTTAATCAAGACATGAGTTGTAAACCACTAAACCCCACTAACAATGCAAATTTTTTATTTTTATTTTTAAATAAATGAATATTCAAAACTTTATTAAATACTACTGCTCACAATCTCACACTCCTGTATACTACTCCACCCTATAATTGAATCAGATTTTATAACTATATTTTTATATAAAAAAATTTCCCAGTAACCAATAACTTTTTAATATATGCTTCCTATATTTTAATCGAGCTTGTTTACGAGCTTTTTGAGCTGAGCTTTGACTTGCTCGGCTCGACTCATTAAGGTTCCAAGCTGTAAGCATCATTCGAAGCACGCCTACTTAAGCATGTGTGAATATGCTTGGCGATCATAGAAAGTGGGAATTGACATTATATGATTAGGGACAAAGAAAGTAGGGAGCCACCAACAAGTTTTTAAGGAACTTGTAAACCGTTCACGGATCATTAAAAGGCAACCACAAATAAGGGACAACGATAGGCAACAACGATTAACCCGTGAAGGTTACACCCTATTCATAATCCATGAGATTACTAACTCCATATGGTTCGGAACTGATATACACGTTTTATACATATGTTTTTCCCGACTTTTCACTACATTCTTGTATAGTTTTAGGCTCTTTAGAGCCACTTTCTGCTAACATTCTCTTCTCTAGTGTGTTCGGTGCATTTTCATAAGTTTTACAGGAACTTGGAGTTTCCCGGATGATTCGGACAAGTTTTGAGCGATATTGGAGATGTTGGTGAACAAGGATGTAAAACCGAGCTGAACAAGAATTGATCCTTGAAGAACAAGAAGCAAAAAGTAGATTTATAACTGTGCCCGATCGGGCTCAGCATGCCCGGTCAGATCGGGCACAGAAGGGAGTGTTGGCTGACACTAATGTTGAAGCAAAGAAGCTATTCTAAGCTCTTATGCCACGCGCCCGATCGGGCAGGCCTCGCCCGGTTGGACCGGGCGCGTGGAGGCTGGAGGCGTTCAAGATTATGAAGATCAGCAAGGCAGCCAGGTTAGACGTTGTGCCTCGCGCCCGATCGGGTGCTACCTGCCCGGTTGGATCAGGCGCAGAGGAAGTTCTAAGAAGAAAGCAGCGCTGTTGTTTATACCATGTGCCCGATCGGGCATGTCAATCCCGGTCAAACCTGGCACAGTTGTGCACAACTCCGAATTCTAATTTTATTATTTTTAGGTCATTAAGGGTATAAATACCCAGTGTAATTTTCATTAGTGGATTATTCAGATTTTCCTTAAGTCCTCTTTCTCTCTCTAGAACTTTAGTTTTATTCCTTTAAGCAATTTAACTCTTAGGTTAGATTTGGGTATTGTTGATTAACAATTTGAGTAATTTCAATTGAAGCATCATTGGTATTCATCTCTATTCTTTTCTCTTTCAATTATTTATGCTTTTCAATCATGTTTTCTATAATTATGATTGTTATTGCTTTCTTCAATATGTGTGAGTAGATTTCTTATTCCAAGATCTAGGGTAGCCCAATTATGATTGATGCATGAATTAATTCTTTAAATTCTCTAATAACCATTGTAATTGTCTATGCTAAATTGATTGTGATTATGCCAATGCTATATTAGAGATAATTAGTATTGTTATTATTCCATTATTTCTATCACAACGAGAGTTGGATTTTAACGGAATTGAGTAAATTGATTTAGGATTTAAAATTCAACATGAGAATAGTTGAACGGATAATTGGGAATTGAAGTAAAGTGTTTAATGTCTCTAATTTGCATGATACCATGAGAATAGGCTTGATTGTGGGTTAGGAAAGCCATTGATACTCGAGAGAGGTCCTTGGTATTTGTTAGGGTTTGCTTTTCCCCGTGTTAATTGGAATTGTATGTTAGGGGTAGATATATAATTGCATCGATCGTAATTGTGGTGATACTTGATCTTGGATGTTTTAGCTTATTGATTTATTATATTCGTTTGATTTATTCTAGTTTTCCATACATTAGCTTTCAGTTTATTCCATCATTATTTGATTTTTGCTTGGTAATTACTTGAGTATAGATAATTTAGGTGAACCTTAGTCTCTGTGGGATCGACCCTGACTTACCCTACTACATAGTTAGGAGGAATAGTTAGGTTATTTTTGTTAGGTACACGACACGCCTATCAATTTTTGGCGTCGTTCCCGGGGACTAACGGTTTCATTTGATTATTTGTGATTCGTTTTTGCTAAGCTTTATTCATTGCTTCGGCTATTTTCTCTTGTGTTTATGATATTCTTTCTCTAGTTTTCTTGTTGCATGCCCACACGACGCTCAGGGTCAGAAGATCTTGAACCATTTGACTCTGAGATCGAGGCAACTATACGGAGAAGGAGAACAAGGAATCGACGTAGGAGAAACATGGAAGATGCTACGAAATCCCTTTTGGAGTATGGTATTCCTGATACGACTACCGGACTCCTATCTAGCATTTTCAGGCCACCTGTGACGGCTCAGCACTTCGAGCTTAAGCCCCAATTCATTCAATTTATCTCCAATGATTCATTCGCAGGCCTACCGCATGATTGTCCGGTAAGTCATATTGATAGTTTTCTGGAGAAATGTGACACAATGAAAATGAATGGTGTAACAGATGATGCTATTAGACTTTGTCTTTTCCCCTTCTCATTGCGGGATAGGGCAAAGGAGTGGTTGAGAGATGAAGGCACTGGCTCGTTTGACACATGGGACAAGCTAGTGAAGGCCTTCTTAGTGAAGTTTCTAGGACAGGAGAAGACTGCTAGGTTGAGGAACGAGCTATCCACCTTCCGACAGTCAGATGACGAGTCTCTCTATGAGGCTTGGAGGAGATTCAAGAGGCTACAGAGACAATGCCCTCATCATGGCATCCCAGAGTGGATGTTAATCCAAACATTCTACAATGGGTTGACTCATGAATTTCGCATATACATAGATGCTGCATCCGGAGGTTCGGTCTTGACCAAGAATCCAACGGAAGCCAGGGAACTAATAGAAAAAATGGCGGCCAACGATAACTACCATCTAGGAGGTCGTCAGAATGTGAAAAAAGGAGGTAAACTTGATGTAGATGCTTTAACTATGTTAACCAATTTTGTGCAGGCACTAACAAGCAGGTTTGATAAGCTCCAAGCTGGAACTTCTACTAGCCCACAGGAGGTTTGTCAGTTGTGTAATGTGCACGGCCATATTGCACCCGATTGTCCACCGAACTCGAGTGAGATGTCAATTGAACAGGCAAATGCTTTCTACTCTTCAAATTCCAAAAAGCCCTATGATCCCTACTCTAATTCTTACAATGAAGGTTGTAAACACCATCCCAACTTCTCCTACAAGAACACCCAAGCACAACAAAATCAACCACCACAATCACCCAACAACTACAACCAACCATCACCCGGTTTCCAACAAAGACCGCCTATGAACCAACAACCAGTGCAACCACTCCCCCCAAAAATCTAGCCTTGAGTTGATGATGGAGAGTTTCATTACCACAACCAATAATGCCATCCAACAACAAGGTAACTCCATCCAACAGTTGCAAGCACAGAGTAAGCTCATGGAAAACCAAATTATTGGATGAACTATTATCCTTTCATAATGGCTAGATAATAAAGGGATTTGTTAAACATCGCCCACAAATTACTACATAAAGCCCGCAAAATATACTTGGTTTGACACTTTTGCCCATTTGTGAATTCTTACCCAAAACGAAAAAGTATGACGTCGAAAAATCAAATTAAAAAAGACACGTGATTTGACAGTTTTGGCCATTTCTGGAATCTTACCAAAAACGAAAAACTCTGACATCGAAAAATCGAATTGAAAAAGACACTTAGTTTGGCACTTTTGGCCATTTGTGAAATCTTACCATAAAACGAAAAATTCTGACATCCAAAAATATGGAGTCGTACTGGGTCCGCGCGGGAGACCGGAGAGCCGAGGGACGCCGAAGAGCCGTCGTCGTCGCAGCAAAACGAGGTAAAACATCGTCGGAGGCGTGAGCATGGACCACCAACGTCATGGTTGGGGTGCATGGCCAGGACGCCGGTGCCATGGCGGTGGCGCCTGGCTAGGACGCCGGCACCGTGGAGGTAGCGCCTGGCCAGGACGCCAGAACCGTGGTGGCGGCTTCCAGGCTAGGCGCCACAACCACGGTCCTGGCGTCTTGGCCAGGCGCCACTCCCACCGCGGCGGCGTCCTGGCCATGTGCCACTGCCATGGTGGTGGTGGTCCTGCCAGGCACCACTGCCTTTATTTTATTTTATTTTTTTTTGTTTTTTTTTTGTTTATAAATTCTAAAAAAAAAGAAATTTTTTTATTTGTAATTATGTTTTTAATATTTGTTAATAAATTTATTTTATAATTTTGTATGTGGAAATTAGATGTTTAATGTTTTTGTTTTTTTTTTAATAAATTTGAAAATTTTAAATTGTAAAAAAAAATGTATAACTTGAAATAATATTTTACATATTTGCTAATAAATTTATTTTATAATTTTGTCTGTGGAAATTAGATTTGTGTTAATAATTTACAAAAAAATTAATTATGTCTTAATTTTTTTTGTGTATAAATACTTTTACACATAATTATGTTTTAATTTTGTATGTGTATGAATACTTTTATAAATGATTATGTTTTAATTTTGTATGTGTATGAATACTGTTATACATAATTATGTTTTTAATTTTGTGTTAATTTACTCTTTACATAATTATATGTATTTAAATATAATATCTAATTTATGCAAGATTACGGTGGAGACAGAAATGATTACAGTGGGATATTTGTACATGATGGTCCCTTCGAAGATGCTCAACAAGCGATTAATTGGGCTAAACAGGTTGCAATTACTTCTGGTTTTTGCTTGGTAGTAACAAGTCATAAATCTCAACGGGATGGTAGAATGGATCGCATTTTGAGATGCGACCGTTATCGCAAAAGAGAAGAAAGAGATTTCAGTACAGCCACTCGGTTTGATACAAAGTGGAAAGGTTGTGGGTGTGAGTTCAGAGTAAAGGTTCGGCAACTAGAGAGTCGTGAAGGTTGGGAAGTGAAGGGTTACTCCAAATGGGGGTATCACAACCATGAGATGATAGTATATGAAGTGGGTCATCGATAGTTGAGCGGCTTAAGTCCTGCTGCAAAACTGGTTGTCAAAGAAATGAGTGATGCTCAAGTGAAGCCTGCTAAAATATTAGCATCTGTGCTAGAGAAATTTCCTGAAGACCAGCCAAACCGAAGACACATCTACAACGTCAGACAACAACTGATGTTTGAACGGTCAGAGGGAAGGAACCCTATACAATAGCTTCTACACCAGGCACAAGCACGTGGTTACCTGTTCTAGTATGATTCTGATGAAGATACAACGGAGGTGACTCATCTATTCCTTGTGCATCCTGATTGTGCTGATATGATCAAGTCTTGGCCAACTGTGATTTTGATCGATTCAACGCACAAGACAAACAAGTACAAGTTCCCACTGGTTGAGATGATTGGGATGACTCCAACGAACCAGAACTTTCTGATTGGCCATGCAGTCATCAAGGATGAGACGACTGCGAGTTATCATTGGGTCTTGGAGAAGCTGAGAAACTACATCAGCCCTAATGTTCAGCCATCGTCAGTGATTGTGAGGGAGGTCTCTTTGCCCCCATAGCAGAGTTGTTTCCAGAATCGAAGCACTTATTATGCACATGGCACATCAACAACTGTGTGAAAGTGAAAGCCTACAACCTCTTCAACAAGAATTTGGAAAGTGCAGAGAGATTGGTAAATGGTAAGTGGCGGAAGATCCTTCAAGCTACCACGGAGGCAGAGTACGATCGATCCTTGGCTAACTTCATGGATTCGTACCAATGGTGTCCGGCACTGATAAACTATGTGATGCAGCAGTGGGTACCTCATAGGGAAAAGTTTGTCAAATATTGGACAAACCAAGTACTTCATTTTGGAAACACTACAACATGCAGAGTTGAGAGTGCTCATAGAGCTACGAAGGACTGGATTGATTCTTCCACCGCTGCTTTGGATACACTGTTCGAGAGAATAAACAAGGCAATTGAAACTCAGAAGAACGGCATCAAGAACTCTCTGGAGGACTCCAGGCGGCGACATGGTACGATGTATAGCCATTTCATATTTAAGATTTTACATGGGCGTGTGTCACACTACTACTTGGGGTTGATTCTGTCCGAGCACAACAGGATGAGGGAGTTGGCGGATGAAGTTGATGTTCGGTGTGGATGTGCTATATCAGTAACTCATGGATTACCTTGCGCATGCACCATTCACCGCGTAATTACCCAAGATAGGACGTCGTTACACGCTGATCAGGTTCATCCATTCTGGCGGACGCTCGTTATTGGTGAGCATGCAGATACGCAGACGGTCAACCGCGAACAGGAGGAGTTGGAGCAGTTTCGTTCGATGTACGACCGAGTATACTCCAGTCATCCTTCCATTATTCGTGATGCTACTCACGTACTGCATGACATGTTCAACACGTCCTGCTTAGATCACGAGGAACCTGAAGGGGTCGAGCGACCTAGAGGTCGTCAACGGCGGAACAGGAGTGCGTTTGAGTACATTCTTGGTCGTGGTCGTACATCGTCATCCAGTCGTAGCCAGTCTTCTTCGTCTGTGAATATGCCCGGCACTGGTACGATAGCTTACTTTAATTTACATTTTATAATGGTTTGAAGTTTACTGCTGACTTGTTCATTGTGTTTAATGATATGTTCAACAGGAAGATTTGATATTGACCAGTTTCCATACAAGGATAGGATACCTAACATCATCATGTCATACTTGGACGGCTGGAATGATGTAGTTGGAGATGGTAACTGCGGATTCCGGGTCGCGGCTGATGTGTTTCAGATGGGCGAAGACAACTACGGTTTAGTGCGTCAGTTGATGTACAGTGAAATTGCCTCTAACCGAGATGTTTATCGTCATGTGTACCAGGACGGCTTGGATAGTGCTCTGCGGCGTATCCGGTGGGGAGGAGGACCTTGCGGTCTAAATCACTATTTCGACGCGCCACTAGATCTGTTTGCCGTTGCAAACATTTACAAGTGCGCAATAATGCATTTCGGGCTGGGATTGCATAGTCAAGCTTATTATCCTTGTACAACGGTTCTCCCTTGGTCATCGCGTGAGACCGTCACTACACCGGTCAGAGAGTTAGCTATTGCATTTCTTGGGTCGTCATACAAACATTTCATCCGACTGGACCTGTCATCCGATTTTCCTGTCCCACCGATCATACCTTGGTGGTACGACATTCGCACAACAAGCGTAGAGGGTTGGGATGCGATGTATCATGACCGGATCCATCAATGGAACACCCTAGCAGCTTTCTAGTTTTTGCGTTGCTTATTATCCTCTTATTGTACTGTTGATTACATTTGTTAGAAACTAAAACGATAATTTCAAATGTTAAAAACTAAAACGATAATTTCAAATGTTAAAAACTAAAACGATAATTTCAAATGTTAGAAACTAAAACGATAATAATTTCAAATGTTAGAAACTAAAACGATAATAATTTCAAATGTTAGAAACTAAAACGATAATTTCAAATGTTAAAAACTAAAACGATAATTTCAAATGTTAAAAACTAAAACAATAATTTCAAATGTTAGAAACTAAAACGATAATAATTTCAAATGTTAGAAACTAAAACGATAATTTCAAATGTTAAAAACTAAAACGATTGTACTAATTTCTGCAAACTACAAAGATAATGTCCTATTTCACAAACTAATTTGATAATGAAAAAAATGTTCAACAAACAAAATGCCAATAACATCAGTAATCCCTCTTTGCCGCCGACTCCCAATGCGCAAGGGTATGTTCCAACTCTTCAACAGCAGCTCTCGCTGCTGCACTCATGCTGTCCTTCTCCAGGGAGAGTTTTTGTACGCCTTGCATTACCTTTCCCATCCACTACACACAAAAAAAAAATAATGAAATTGAATAACGATATATAAAACTTTTAAAAAACGCAACAATAAATTTTTGTTCAGACATACCGCATCTACGGCAGTTGGCGGTGGATCATGATCATCGGCGTCGTCGCCATGGTCGAGGTCTCTAATCAACCTCGGGTGCGAATACCAGTTGTACCATTCCATGTAGTGCTGGTCACACATGGGAGGCACCCCAGTAGACGGCCTCTGCAGCTCCGCAGTCCATAAGCGGGCAACCTTCGGGAACTGCTCCCACGTGGCAATCATGCTATCCGGCCATTGGACGACATACTCCTTCGACGACGCAGATTGGACCGCCTTACTCGGCCATGCCGGTGGAGGAAGGACAACTTGGACGAACCCAAGCTGGAGAAGACAACGCTGGGGCATGTACGCCTCCACGATCTCACGATATTGTATGAGTCCCGTGTAGAGGGTCCTGGGTACCCTATTACTAGGGTTCTGACCGAAAGGCATCCAGTTCACCCGCACAAAATGTTTCAAATTAGTAAGATTCATATAATAAATGCAGTACAATACAAATTTTGAAATAATGTATGCACTTTACCTCTAAGGGGACATCCGATCAAGCGATAACCGTATCAATCGGAGGCGGTCAACAAACTTCTTCTCCAACCGCGGACTCCACGCACAGGCACTGGGCATCCCATCACCAATAGGAACCGGGTCACGGTGTGGTCGAAATGCAGGAAAATACTCATATATCCAAAGTCAGACATCCAGTGATACCTGCCGCGTCAGCCCGACTCGAAAATCCTAGGTGGCGATACAGATACGCCAACGTAGCCGACCCCCAAGAAAACTAACCAACACTGACGGGCTCACACGCATCAACTATGTCGCGTGGCCTGAGCTTGTTTCCGCTCTTATTCGGAAACAAGGTACACCCGAGGAGAAGAAAAACATAAGTAGCCAGTTGTGCATCGTGCGTCCTACGTGCACCGGGGTGCAAACAACGCTGCAAGACGGATGCGATCTTCACACCTCCGTGGTCCCAAACACCAAGCGCCCCTGTGTACAGCGCAGCCCTGTCCACTGCCAACAGCTCCGCCAACAAATCTGCCTGATCCGCATCAGTCACAACAGAAAGGCGTTTACCCTCTGCGCGAATCCCAAGAATGGCCTCGACGTCATGCAACATGATCGTCATCTCACCGAATGGAAGGTGGAAAGTGTTCGTATCCGGCTGCCATCGCTCAACGAAAGCCGTGATCAGCGTCCAATCAATCTTATCGCGCATGGTGGCAGGAAGGTGATTCACCTCAGTGCCCTGCAATCGGTCGAACATCTCGCTCTCCACCGGCCAAGCCTCAACCCATCTGCTCAAAACGCTACAAGTCTTTTCCCGGGTTTGGCATTTCAAAATGCCCGTCACCAAACCCCTCTCCTGGTCCTCCTAGATACGGGTAGCTATGTGTCCTAGAAAGCTAGGAATCACACTCCCGTCTACAAGGCCCCCAGGCACCGCACCCTTAACCACCCAAGAATCATTAACGGCCCTCGACCGTTTTCTGCTTGCCCCAGACACGGTGGATGCAGATGATGTGCCAGATCTACTCACAAACCTACCATCCCTACCCTTACGCACATCTACCCTATGCTTCTCGTACATGTCATTTAGCCTCTGACTGAATGGACCGTAATCATCATATGGTCCACTCCCATTGTCCACATTCTCATATGTGTCCTCCTCCTCCTCCTCCTCCTCCTCCTCCTCCTCCTCCTCCTCCTCCTCCTCCTCATCATCATCATCATCATCTTCATCATCATCTTCATCCTCATCCCGATGGTGAACCCGTTCTCTACGAACCGAGGCCGAAATACCATGGGATCTAAGATGTCTGGGCCCCGAGCTCTCCATCGAGTAGTTTCCAGACCTAATAAGGTCTAAATTCTTCCCTGCACCATGACGAAAATGCGACACCTTCAAAAAATTAAAAAATGTATACACATTAAAAAAATTATAAGAAAATAACTACCAAAAACCAAATCAAATGAACTAAAAAAATACTAGCAAACTACCCTGAAAAAGAAATTAACAGAACACTTAAAATAAATTACAGAATAAAATATACACAAACAAAGAAAAAAAACCAACACATACAAAATACATATAAACATAAAAGAAAAAAAAATAACCTAAACGAAAATATATCAACTAAACAGAGAAACATACTAACAAATTGCAATAACAAATATACAAAAAAATTTGTACAAAACAAACATACAAAGAAATGTAAAGGAAGTATAAACGTAAAAAAAATACAACAAAATTGAAAAAAACTTAAAAAAACATAAAACACAAATAAAATTTCAAAAAAAAAATTAGGGGAAAAAACAAAAAACAAAAACATAAAAAAATTATGATTTAAAAAAAAACAAAATAGAAAAAAACTGATTTTTAAAAAAAAAAAAACAAAAACCCAAAGAAAAAAACTCAAAAAAACAAAAAACAACAAAAACATAAAAAAAATATGATTTTCAAAAAAATAAACAACATAAAAAAAAACTGATTTTCAAAAACAAAACCATAAAAAACAAAAACCCAAAGAAAATTACTTAAAAAAACAAAAAACAACAAAAACATAAAAAATTATGATTTTTAAAATAAAAACAAAATAAAAAAAAAAAAACTGATTTTTAAAAAAAAACCATAAAAAACCAAAAACTCAAACAAAATTACTTAAAAAAAACCGAAAAAAAACTAAAAAAACGATTTTTAAAAAAAAATTCTGATTTTCAAAAAAAGAAAAAAAAAACCAAAAAAAAAAGGGGGCGCATGGCTCGGAAGCCACGCCATGGGTGGCAGCGCCTGGCTAGGACGCCAGACTGTTGGTGGCGGCGCTTGGCCAAGACGCCATTCATGTGGTGGCGGCGCCTGGCTAGGACGCCACACCGGTGGTGGCGGCGCCAGATCCGTGACGTCCTCCCCATGCGCCCCACCATGCCACGGCGTTTTTTTTTTTTTTTAAACGGAAAAAAACCAACCTTGCCACCGTGAGACCTCCTTCCCTCCGCCGCCGCCGCCGCCAATTCCTTGCCTTGCCGCCTCGACATTGCCGGATTTTGATTTTTTTTTTTTAAAAAAAACGTAGAATGAAAGTGGCACAGATTTTTTTTGTTTGGGTGATGAGAGAGTGTTTTTTTTAGGTCAAGGGTAATATTGTCAATTCAATGGAAATGTGTGGGCTTTAGTTGGTAATTTGTAGGCGATGTTTAGCAATTCACATCATAAAACATTTTATATTTAAAAATTAATCATTGACCATTCCATTGATAAAAATAATTATACTTGTATATGAAACAAACAAAATCAATAATGATGTTACACATGAATTTACTTATAAATTAAAAAATAACTATTACAATATGAATCTGACAGTTTCTTAGCTAAAGTCTCACATCTTATACTACAAGTATACTAGTAGGAGTTAAAATCTATAAGATTCCTAGTAACCCACTTATGCTTCTTGTCTCTTGAGTTCGTTCTTGCAAACCTGTTGACAAGGAATGGCATCAAATAGTTAGAATACAACAAAAACAATAAAATTGAAGTATAAAGAATAAATTAAAAAAATATGAAAAATCACAAACAACCAATTAAGTTGGTGTATATGGATGGAAAAGCATTATCAAAGCTCAAACCAAATAATATAAATCAAATCTTACTAGAAAATTAAAACCCAACTTCCTCCATAAATTCTCAGAACCATAAATCACCCCCCTCCGCCACAAATCTCAAACCTTAAAACAGAAAAACAATCAAAAGTAACAGATTGAAGAGAGCAAAAGAAAACCTGGAATATTGAAGTTTTGCGGCAAATCAATTTCTTCTCAACCCCAAGAACAACGGTGTCGATACCGCGGACACTAACGGCAAATCAATTCAACTTGAAAGAGATGGTTGTAAGATAAGACCACTGTAATAGCTCTGTTGTACCTCACCATTGTTGCATCACTTCTTCAGATCAACTGAAAAGAGAATAAAAGGTTTTTCTTTAAAAAAATAAGCGGTGAATTGAAAAAAGAGTAGGTAAATTAGAGGAGGACGGCTGAGGAGAGAAAAAAATAGGGTTTCATGAATTAAATCTTTCAAAAAAATTAAAAAAACTGAAAAAATAATATTTATAAATGAGAAGAAACCATAATTTAAAGAACAACGGTGCCTCACTGTATCTAAGGCACCAGATTTCTCTAGTGACTGGTGTCTTATTAAATATCTAAGAAACCCGATTTCTTAGAAAACAGATTCTTAATCTAAGAAACCAGACAAGTGACTTAACCGGTGCCATATGAGCGGTTCCATAGCCCAATTTTAATTTGTAGTAGTGTTTATTATAAACTTTATAGTATATATATAATCATATCATATAATAAAGTCATAGCTATATCTAAAGATTCAAAGTAATCAAACATCTTTAGTCTCGATCTAACTTGTGATTTAAGATCTTACACCAAATTATAAGTGAGTATCATAATAGGTTTCAAAAGTATCATGACTAGCACTCTGCAGATTATAGGCAGGAAGTAAATGGACATTATATATGCAGAAGTATCATAGTTGTTAGTCTACTAACAATGGCGTAATGGAGTGTGTTTGTTATGTTGTGCTCTTTTTTTTCTTCTTCTTGCTTTATCTTGTTGCTAGTATGATATTGGTGATGTTTACATATGCTATTGTTTTTCTAGTTGCTGCACATTGGTTGTTTAGTTGACTTAGATGATTATTATGTCTAATAGTGAATTACTTTATAGATGTCAAATTTGAACAACGAGTGTGAAGATGAAGTTGTTGAGATTGAATCTACTGGAGTAGTTGGAGTATGGAATGAAAATATTGAATCTTACCTTATAAGCTTGATAGAGGAGGAGGTGAAATAGGGAAATAGACCAATAACCACTCTAACCAAGCATGCTTGGAGGTTTGTCAAGCAAAAACTAAAGGAGAAGACAAAAAAGGATTATAGTCAGGAACAACTTAAGAACAAATATAATCAATCAAGAAAAAGATGGAAGGAATTTAATTAGTAGAAGAAACTGGAATGGGATACAATCCTATAACTCAACTTTCTGCCGAGGATACTGTAATGAAAAAGTTGGATGAGGTAATTGTCAACAAGTTTATTATGATTCTATTCTTTTATGGATCAAATAGCGATATTTTTTAAACTAATGAGTTGATATTTTTGTGACATTTGATGTGAATATATGATTTTTATAGAAACATATGTCTGCCAAAACTTTTAGAAAGAAGGGATGTAAGCATTATGATAAATTATGCACAATATTTGGGGATACAACTGCTACTGGTGCTAGTTCACATCCTTCTGCTAAAAGCCCTTCTGAGAGTGAGGATGAAGATGACGCAGATGGAGACGGGGGTGTCTCAAGAAAACCATGTGAAGAGGGTCCTAATGACAAAAAAATCAAGCCTAATGTCAATCGTAAGAAACTTAGGGATTGTAGCAATGGCGGATGCCTTGGTTACAATGAGTGAAAATTCCAAGAAAAAGCTTGAACTTATCGAGAGAAATTTTAATGGCAATGATGAAGGTGGGCATCAGTCGAAGGAGGATCATGATTTGCTTATGGAATGTATAGATGCAGTAAGTGCTCTTGAGGGAATTGATGGAGCTTCATTTGCAAAGGCAACTAAACTAATACATGATGATCTGGGAAAAATTGTCAAAAATAATACAATCTTTCAGAAGTCCACCAAAGATAAGTCAACCTATTGATTATTTCTAAATAATACAACCTTTTGAGGGTGTTCGCTTTAAACAAGTTATGACCTGTTAATAACCTAATTAACAGGTTAAATGGGACACGTGTCATTATCTTATTCGTTTGACATTTTAATTTGTTTTTTTATTTTTAAAAGATTATTTTTATTATTATAATATTTGTTTATTTTAAAAAAAAACCCTCCACCCATCTCCTCCACCAACCACCACCAGCGCTACAACCTCCCTCCCTGTCCACCAGCGTCGATCACGCCCAGATCCCCCTCCCCCGGGGCCAACGCCGACCCTTCTCCCTTGCGCGTCTGTAATACCCCGTATTTTTATACGTATTTTAATTTAAATAAGTATTTCTTAAAGTATTTAAATAATTCAAAATGAATTATTTATGATGTTTTCATTAATTTAAAAAGAATTATTTTACTTAAAAAGTTTATTTTTAATTATTTAATAATCTTGAAAATATTTTATTTTATGATTTGGAAATATTAGGCATATTATTTAATAAAAAGATAATTTTTAAAGTCAATGGTATTTAAGGAAAGTCAAAATACTAGTTTGACTGGGAAAGGGATCATTAAGGGTAGTAAAGGAATTTTAAGTAGGAGGGTTATTGAGAGGGGGTATAAATACCCATCATATGCCTAAGGTGGAGTGCACCCAAAGGTAAACTCTCTCTCTCCTCTTATTTTCTTTTCCCCTTAATTTTTCCCTTCCCCTTATTTTTATTTTTGTTTCAATCACCACCCACACACGCCACCACACACCGGCCGCCACCACCAGCCGACAGCCACCACCACCAGCGCACGCCAGCAGCGGCGGCCACCAGGCGGGCGGCAGCCGCCTAGCCATGGTGGTTCGTGCGCCCTCTTCAAAAAAAAATTATTCTTTTGATTTTATTTCAATCTACCCTAAATCTAATTACTGTTTTTGGGTTTTGTGATGATTTTATGATGTTTAATGATAAGTATTTTGTATATAAATTTTCAGATTTGGTTTTGAATTAAAAAGCCCCAAATTGAAAACCCTAGATTTCTAAATTAATGTTTATTGATGGAATTTGATTTTAGTTGATTAAAACTATTGAAATTAATGTTTTTAAACTAAATTACAGCAAGTTTATGAGTTTTAATAAAGCTGGAATTTTATATATAAGCTATAATTATGTTTCTTGAAAGGATTTTTAATTACCCATTAATTGGGAATAAAAGTAAGGGTTTTGAATTAAAATTTAGCTTGTTTTAAAGGGTTTATGAGTGATTTAAAGAGGGTATATATTGCTGGAAATTTGTGTGAAAGAGGTATTAATACTTCTTTGTAATTTTGGTTTGTAGGAGACTTCCAAGTGAGTGATTTTATTTAGTCGTGGCGATTTTGAGATCATATTAAAGGTACGTTAGCGTACTTAGTAATTATTTGAATATGTAGAAGCATATATGAGTGATTTAAAGAGGGTATATATTGCCGGAAATTTGTGTGGAAGAGGTATTAATACTTCTGTGTAATTTTGGTTTGTAGGAGACTTCCAAGTGAGTGATTTTATTTAGTCGTGGCGATTTTGAGATCATATTCAAGGTACGTTCGCGTACTTAGTAATTATTTGAATATGTAGAAACATGCTAGGCTTTGTTCAATTAATTCCAAGTAGTATCATGATAGATATTGGTTGGAATTTGTTGATTGGATTGATGTTGGTGAATGCTTCGTGATGTATGAATTATCTATGATGATTTGGTGATTAAAATTAATTATGTTGGCATGTTGTCTATGAACCACACTTTATTATTGGCATGATAGAGAGCACGTTCAATTAAACTAAGTGTTTAATTTGGCTTGGAATATTGAAAAGGAATTTTATTATGGTTCTTATAGTTTTTTATTAATGCTATAAGCATGAGGAAGGAGCTATTTAAGTGTCTATGTACATGAGGATTAAATTGTATTGGAAAAATTGCACACCTTTCACCCGTCCGCTATAAACAGGTCGACCTTTTGATTATCTCTAAATAATACCACCTTTAATTGGTATCCGCTTTAAACAAGTTGTTTTACCTACAACTTAGAGGTGACCGGTTATCAGATGTTTATTTGTTAAATCGTTTATCAAATTATAATTAATTGCTAATTAACTAATACTACTTATTATTAAAACTTCTTAAAAAAATTAACACACATTAATTAAAAAAATGAATTTCTTAAAAAAAAATAGAAATTTTTTCCCCTCCCCTTCCATTGATGTCGGCTTCCCCAACTAGCTCAGCCGCTTTTCGCCGACCAGAAGCCCCACCGACCACCATAGATCAGCACCTTCCCTTCCTCCGGTCACCTTTGACCTACTCCTCTCGCTGGTACTTCAAAGCAAACCCCGTACCTGTCAACCCCTAAATCTGACCCTTTCTCTCTCCCCAAACCCCAACCCCAATTCATTTCCTTCCCTTTACACCTTTGACAGTTGTCTGGAGTCTCGGGGTGTGGTGGCGAGGTGGGCGGGATAAGGGTTTGGTTCAAGGGTTCGGTTCGATTTAAGGTGGGGTTTCAGCGCATGACTGGGATTGTGGTGGTGGGGCTACCGAGGAAAGGGCGGGGTAGGGTTTGGTTTAGGGGTTGGGTTCGGTTCAGCGTGGTGGGTTTTGGGGTGGGGTGGGGTTTCAGTCTTGTGGGGGTGCGGTCAGGTGAGAGGGGGTGGGATTTCGGGTTAGGGATGAGGGTGGCGTGGGGTGGGGTGGGGTTCAATTAAGGGGGTTGTGGGTGTTGGGGTTGGTGGTCAATGGTGGTGCAGTGGTTGTGGGGGTGGGGGTCAGTTAGGTTCAGGGGTGGCGGCAGGGTTTGGTGGTGATGTCGTGGTTATGGAGAATGGTGGTGGTGAGGTAGGAAAAGAAAGATTAAAGAAAAAAAAAATAATAATCATAATTATTTTAAAAAGTTAAAAACATTAAATATATATATATATTCAGATCAATAAACTGAAGACACGTGTCCATATAACCTATTAATCAGGTTACCAACAAGTTACAACTTATTTAAAGCGGATACCAATTAAAAGTGGTATTATTTAGAGATAATCAAAAGGTCGACTTGTTTTTAGTGAACGGGTGAAAGGTGGTATTATTTAATGCAATTTTTCCAATTGCATTTTGGTGCCTACATGCACTTAAGGTGTTTCCAACACCGAGGGATAAGATTTGTGGTGTTTTATGCATTTAAGGTGTTATTTAACACCGAGGTAGTTTAAAAAGGATTCAAAATTTAATTTATGTGGTCACTAATTATTCAAGAATTAAATTGGTATGTTTGATCGCTTGAAAGAATTATAATGTTTGATTGTGTTATGGATTGAGAATCATCACCAAGTCTCTAAATATGTAAATAACGTAAAGTGAAAGAAATTACGCACCAAAACTCTTGCAATGTCTATACCTTGAGTATGATCATATGGGGGAGTTATGTGACTTTATATTTGACCATAACTTCTACTGGGAGTACAAGATGTTGTATATTCCTTTTTATTATGCGTAGGAATTCCACCACTTAATTACGAGTGGTTCTTTTATACTGGCACGGTTAGCTCTCGTGT